GTAACAATAGCAGTGAGGCAGCATCAGCAGGGGCTGTACAAGCCCATCTGGGACCCTCAAAATTCATGCAAGCAACTTGCCTGTGCTGCTGTGGCCTCATTGCTATTGTTCTTTGAGCTTCTCAGAGCAAGACTCTGATTACAGTGCAGACATACCCTATTCTGGTAAGGAGACTTGAATTCTATTGCCAACTTGAAAACTGACGCACATGACTTCTGGCCAATCACATTACCCCTGTGAATCTCTTTTCTTTACCACCCTTCAGCTGCCTGGTCTGTTTAAACTGGAGGGCAGATCTAAAGCCCAGGGGCCGGATACAGCCTCTGATTTACTTGGTTCAGCAACCCCTCTCCCAGCACTGGGGAGTCCGTGTTGGTGCTCCAGCCCCACCTGCCGCTCCACCATGGGGCTGGAGCACACAAATCTACTAGCCTGGGCTCTCCTAGACTCAGGTGTGTGAGAGGAATGTGGGGAGAGTCTTTCTGCTTCTCAGTCAGGGGCCACGTCAGTGAGGCTTTGTTTGGTTTTTTTTGCTTCTCATTTGTGTGCAGGCCTGGACTGATTTTTCTGTGGGTCAGCAACCCCTGACCCAAAAAAGAATCCCCGCCCCCAATTTAAATTGTAGGTACTTTAGGGGTTTGTTTCTATTATGTGCTTGTACAGCACCTAGCACAATGGGTTTCTAATTTCAGTTGTAGCCTCTGGGCTAGGAATGTAAGATCCTTGTTAATCAGTTAAACTTTAGGTTTAACCAGTTAACCAATTAAGCAGCATCCTGCTCCTGCCCCTCACCCTGGTGTGAGGGGCTGCTTCTGCTGGCCCCTCCTCTCCCTCATGCAGGGATGAAGGGCTAGCTTCTGCTCCCCACCCATCCACATGGAGGGTGGCTCCCAGTCCCCATGGGGCTGGAGCAGCCTTCTGCCCATGGTGGGCCACAGGTGGGGTTCTGCTCCTAGATACAGTTAGGGGGATGCTTATCACTTAACCAGTTACCCATTCACATCCCTACTCTGGACACTGCTGAAATAATGTGACTATTATTTTGATCCTGTTGAAATCAATGGGCATTTAGCCCATTGGCAGCACCTTTCTTTTCCTCCACTTAATCGTCATAGGATTCTTGCAAACCTCTTTTCGGACTACCACTGCTTGTCAGGCATTTTTAGGCACTCTGGATGAAGAACATATACATTCAACTGGATTGAGCAAAATTAATGTTTTCCAGTTGGATTGAAAGCCTGGGAAAGCTGAGGTGCAGGTGTGCGGGTAGCTCCCACAAACCCAGGTGCTTTAATAATAGGATGGAGCTGGCAGTCAAACATAAAGGCTCCTCTTGGGGGAGAGGGAGGGAATTTAGTTTCATGTACTCAAGGAGGAAGGCCAGCAGTTGCCAAGCACATGCAACATGGGAAACAAGGGGATTCGTGGAGCATAAAAATTCCTGCAGGGTTAATTAGTGAAAGACTTGACAAAAATAAGCTGGGCCTCTCACATCAAATACATGATAGCATCCTGCGGACCTCTTAAGCCATCCCCTGGGTCTGCTGCTGTGGCCGTCAGCAGTGGAGGTGTCTGTGGAAGTCGCATTGTTGCTGTTGTGTGGGGGATTGCAAATGTGGTCACAAACGAAGCTGTTATTTCTTAAAAAGTATTAAGGTGGTTTACACATTGATAAACCTCTTGTGCCTTCTATCTGTGTGTGTTTATGAGAGAGAGAGAATACAGAGTTTGTCAGGGGGCGAGAGCAGCACATCTAAGGCCTCTGTTTATCCCCAGAACAGCTATCGCATGAGACGAGCCACTGCTGTCCTTCATCTCAGAGAATAGTTTGGACCCATTCGGTTTTTGGCTTCTTTACTGAAACTACCCACCAAGGAGCCTTTTTTGTGGACGTGGCCTCTGGGAGCTAACTGGAGACCACCACGCTTATTTCATGCAAGCCATGTAATGACAATTTTTTTTAATGGCAATTCAGTCAAGATTGGAACTGGTGACTTAAAGGGGAGAGATGCTCTATCTCACCAAGCCCTTGACGCATCATCATTGTCCACAATGGTGACTGAATTGCAAATTGTCTAGTGATTTGGGCAAAACAGCAGTGGGGAGGGGAGTCCAGTCTTTAAACTGGACACCAGACTGGAGCCTCTGAAGGGTGAGCCTGACTGGATTGACCAGGAGGCTATCAAGTGCCGGCACATCATCTGCCCTTGCCTCCATAGCTGTGCTGCTCTTGACCTTGGAGCTGCCCTTTGGGAACCTGCTGCTTGCTATGCAGGGTGGGGGAGGCACAAGAGAGGGTGCTGTTGTCAAAGTGTCCTTCTCACCTCCATCACTGTACCCCATCTCCACCGATTGAGCAAGGTGGGGCCTCGAAGAGGGAGTGGGGCAGGGTCTTGAAGAAGGGGCAGAGGAGGTGAGGCAAAGGTATTTGAGTTTGAGGTAGACCCTGGATTGGCTTACATTAAAAAAGTGATCTTGTGCTTAAAAAATTGGAGACCACTTATCTGAAGGAATATGTCTGTGCAGCACACACAGTGCTGGGAGGGATGGGGACATAGTGCACTTTTAACTGGCTCCATAGCAACTGCTCCAATTCATACCTGGCTTAAAGCTGCTTTTGTACCCTGCTTGGTGAGCCCTGCTGAGCACTCATCAGCTGCAGCTCAGGATCAAATCAAAACTGATCCCTGTGTCCCTTGTAAGCATCCCTCTCACGTGTGTCAAAAATTCTGTTTCTTTTCAGTCTTCTTTTCTCCAGATGTAATCTACCCAGTAACGCATAAAATGCCTTTTGTGACTTTGTCTTTCACCCCAGTGTGCGCGGTGGCCTTGCAGCTTTCAACTTTTAAAATGCTTCCTTACCAGCCATTCAATTCCATTTGTTTTATGATTCTTTAAATTACAGCCATGATCACCGTGAATAATTCATGTGCATGAAGTGATTTGAACAGCCCTGGGACTCTTTGGCTAATTCCAGAGCTGCTGAAGGGCAAATTGTCCTTCTTGGCACTGAGTACTTTTCACAAAAAAATGCCAGTTTTGTATTCATTTTTTCTGATATTTCCAAACTGGGCCACTACAGGACACCTGGGTGCCACTTATACCCTCAATAGAAAGTTTAAATGGGACTTAATTGATGCTTGGGCCCCATGCAAAGCCTGTTCTTGGGTGTGAATTTAATCCTCTAAGTTTTCTCCATCAAAAAGCTGCCAAGCAACGGTGAGTGTGGTCCAGAGAATCCTCACTGTTAGCAAATCATGATTTTGCTCTGCATTCCCAGATCCACACAGGGCAGTATGTTTGCCTTGAGTTTTTGGTATTTTATGTTACTTTGGAAGTAACTCATTATTGTTATCTGTAACTGTCTTTCATCATCCCTGTCCATTTCCATGACTATCACCAGAGCCAAAGCCATTTACACTGGCCCAGATGTCTTAACATAAAGGTGTCTTTAATTCATATGAAAATAAATGCTGTGTTAAATAGAAGCTGACTCAAGGGTCACTAGCTAGCTTGGACGAACATCTGGGTTCCCTAGTGTTTCTACTGACCTTAGAGGTTCGCTCGTCTCTGTGAGGTGTCACCCAATTAATTAAGATTTGTAGGGAATGATTGAAATGAAGGCAATTCAGATCATAAGCCCTGTGGATCAGGGACTTGTCTAATACCTGATGTTTCTACAGCACCTAGAGCAATGGGTCTAACCTTGGTTGCTCCTCAGATACTACTGTAATAAGCATGACTGTTAATAATAATACATGACATTTCCTACAGCACAGCATAGGTGTGTGTGTAACAAGGGGCACAGGGGATTGCATGTAGAAATATAAAATAAAAAGTGATTTGCTGGATAGGAAGGGAGCCCTGATCCTTTGTTACTGCAAGAACTGCTGGGCAGTTTGCCATTCCTCCATCCTAGAAGCAGCAGGAAGGCCACATGAATTTACTTACTATTAAGTCTTCTCAGACCCATCTTTCTTGCCCACATCCTGTCCCTATTTTTCCCCGGTGTAGGATATAAATAGGGATACTCAGAGAACTTAACTTCTGCTTAGTGCTGAGGACTATGCTTGGTGCTTAGCCAGGTGCAGACTCAGCTTGCAGCTGCACTGAAGTGAATTTTAACTGTCTTGTGCTCTGTGCTTCACTTTGGGCAAGGATCTGCAGGATCAGTGCCAAAGAGAGCAATCCTAGTCTATCTTTGCATGGCAACACTGGGCAGAGGACCACCCGTGGCAAGGAACATTAGGCTCTGCTTTCAGCTGTGCATAGGACTAGGCATGCAAATACTTCCTCACAAAGAAAGTGAGCTGCTGTACCTTGCTCTTGTGGTTTTATTCCTAAGCACCAATACTCCTTGTTGGAGCTCACATCAATGGAACCTGTACACAGTAGGCTATGTAACAGCGGTGGCCACAGAGCTTTCTTTTGGAACTCCCTGTCTCGATGATGCTGACACGGTTACAAAGTTGATCTCTAAAGGCAGTCTCTTTAGAATTGGCATGGACAGGCCACCAATTATCGGAGGTCTGGGAAGGGAGCATTGTGGGAATGGCTGCCAGGAGAAATTTGGAACTGCTCAAGGGTAAATTGGTTACTACTCCATGACGGGTTGGTCTGGTGAAGATGTACGTTACACTTAGGAGATTTTCCTGAAATGTCCCTCTTTCCCCACCACCTCACAAATTTCTACGTGTCCAGTTCCATGTTAGGCCACTGGACGAAAGGAGGTTTAAATCAGAAAATGTGTGTATTTTTGTGGTACCATTTACTGATATGTGGAAGTTTATCTGTAGTCACTAATTCCTCTCAGTTGAATCAATGTTTAAGCAGCTTTAAATTGTATACATGTGTGGAGCAGACACTCAGCTTCATGGAAGTCACTGATGAATCCTCCACAGACGTCAGTATGGCCAGGATTTGGCCCTTGGCATGTTAAGAAATATAACCTTAAAATCCATTTGTATTGCTAATCACATTCTTCTGTTCTCTTCCCTTAGTCCCATGAAGAAAATCCTCTGAAGACAATGGAGCTGTGACACTCTACTGGAACTATGGAAATTATAGAGGATTGCCAGCATGCTCCTGCTGGGCTGGTGCCAAATGGATACATGAACAAGATTTTTCAAGCCAATCCAGAAGATGGGAGCACTGAGACATTAACGATTTGTGACCTTCAACACTGCAACTCCAATGGCACTCACCAAAATGCAAGGGAAGGGGCATCCAGGTATAAGAAGAAAACCAAGGGCAACCGGATTTGGAACTTTGTTAGCCGAAGGAAAGGTCCCTCCATGAATAACAAAAGACCCCAGTCCATGATTCTGCTAGGAGAAACCTCAGAGACCTTTGAACAAAAACCCAAGATGTCCTTCATGGAGAGAGTGAGGTCCTTTAAAAAGCTAAGAACCTCCAGCATGTCTAAGAATGTGGATTTGAAATCCTCCAAAGCCAGGGTTTCCTGCATCACTGAGGAGGACCAGGAAGACAGAGACCAAAGGGCTGTGTATAGGGTTAAAAAACTAGCTGACAGTCAGAGGCCTTTTCGTCATTCGTATGCAGGGTACATCGATGATTTGGATTCTTCTTTTGAAGACGTAGAGTTAAATGTCAGCATTCCAGAAATTAATGCCAATGAAAATAAGTGGCTCAGGGATATTAGTACCAGAATACACAGTGAAGATAACGATAGTAACTGCCATAAAATGTCAGCTAGAAAGAGCAAGATTTTGAATTTTGAAAACTCTAAGAGTTCTGCGATTACAGAAAGGGACAATCAAAAGAAGTGTCCCATGCTTCCCGAAGAGAGCAGGAGAGGAAAAAGCTCCGATGTCTGGAGCTATCTGAAGGGAATTTCGTTATCTAGCAAAGATAATTCAAAGTTGCTAGATCAAAGTGTGGAAACCAGTTTCCAGAACTTAGAACATATAACTGATCATTCTGCTTCTTTTTTTGACTTTGATACAAGATACGAGGAGAATCTTAGCCAACCCAAAAAATTAAACAGTGAAATGAAATCCAGCCACTTTGGTGGTGTTCTTCGGTTCTTTAACAATGTGGCTGAGGCAGCTAGGAAGTGGCGAGGCTCTTCACGGACATATTCACAGGGAGAGCAAAAACTTCAGTCAAATTTCAGAAGTCAGAGGCAGGATGCCTCTTCCCACAAAGAGTCTTTGGTTATTGAGAATGAAAATGCCAGGGTTTTCTCTTCAATGGGAGAGTCACTGCAGTCTCCAGATTCTGGGATCTGGGATAATCACAGTTCTGAGAGCTCAACAGGAAAAGAGCTGCCTCAGCAAAGCGTAGAAGCAGAGTTATCTCAAGAGATCAGCAGCTCTGCTCTGAATAGTGAGAATGATAGTTTTAATGAAACATCCCTTCCCTGCTTTGGGCCAGGTCCATATACCTCCCCACTGCCAGAACCTCCAGATGACTGTTATACTCTGTTAAGCACACCAGGCCTAGCTGTGGCTGCATCACAGTTTCCAGACATTCCTGTCACTGAATTAGATGCTCAGGACCCGGGCAGCTCTCCGGTGGGGAATGCTCAGGACCCAGGCAGCTCTCTGTCAGGGGATGCTCGGGACCTGGGTACTACTCTGGTGGGACCGGGCAGCTCTCCGGCAGGGAATGCTCAGGACCCAGGCAACTCTCTGTCAGGGGATTCTCGGGACCTGGGTACTACTCTGGTGGGGGATGCTCAGGAACTTGGAAATACTGAGTTATATTTTCAAGACAGGGCTAAAACTAAACTGGGTATTCAGGAACTGAGTAACACTGAAGAGTATAATCAGAACACTAGGTGTACTCCAGGGAATATTCAGGACTTGGACAAGAGTCAGTCACAGTCTCAAGATCTTTCTAAAAGTAAACTGGATATTCAACCTGTGGACAGTGCTCTGGTTGGTCCACAAGGTCTCTCTGCAGCTTCTCTTTTAAAACATGCAACGGATAACGAGCAAGCTTTAGAGCTGAAGGATTCTTCGTTCAAAGAACACGAAATAAGTTTACCAGTAGAGCAAATTTCCATGGAGAGGCCAGACAAAGTAAATCACCTAAAGTATAATAAAGTGTGCCATCAGATCCAGATGAGCCTCTGTACAATTGTCTCCTTCAGGGAGCTCAACAATGGAAAGGTATGCCCGATCTTCATTGTAACACTGTCACAATAAGACACTATCAAATTATTATTTTAAAATACTCCCCCGCTGGGTAGAAGGTCTGCAGACAAAACTGGTTTGGATATAGTTATCTGACCTTTCAATTCAATTAGACCTTTACATCTTAGATGGATGAGGGCAGTGGTCACATCTTATAAAACAGACAAAAAGGAGACAGTAGGCTGATGGTATCTTTAAGCTACTTGTTTTCGAACTGTTTGGCCACATTACTCATGTCAATGTGCCTGAGCAAGAGCAGCTATGGCAAAATAGTCCCAGCATAGAGAGAAATTTCATAGTTATTTTCAAAAAGCATCTTTAGTTTTCACCCCTTCATTTACTTCATGCAAATATTTGACTTAACACTGTGCAACGTGTTGATTTTAAACATTAAAAAAAAAAAATGGTGCACATAACTTGGATTTAAAACTGGCTAGCTGATAGGTCTTTAAAATGGTGCACATAACATGGATTTAAAACTGGCTAGCTGATAGGTCTCAAAATGTAACTGTAAATGTGAGAATTATCACCAAGAGATTGTGTTTCCCATGGAGTCTCACAGGGTTTGGTTCTTGGTCCTGCACTAATTAACATTTTATCAATAACTAGGAAACCACCCCCTGCAAAATGCTGAATAAAGTTGGCAGGTGGCACAAAAATGGGGGGAATAGTAAATAATGAAAAGGACAGGTCTTTTGACTTGAGAAATCTGGATCACTTGAAAAACTGGTCACAAGCAGTGTTTTAATACAGCTAAATGTAAATGCATATGTTTAGGAACAGGGTATGTAGGCTATACTTACAGGATGGGGAATCCCAGGAAGCAGTGACTGTGTACAAAATTTTGGTGTTGTGGTGGATAATCATCTGAACTCCTAGAGCAAAGTGTGGCCAAAACAGCTAATGCAATCCTAGGGTGCATAAACAGAGGTCTCTTCAATAGGAGCATATGGGTTACCTTACCTCTTTATTGGTACTGATGTGACTGCTGCTGGAATTCTGTGGCCAGGTCTGGCATCTGCATTTTAAGAAGTGTGTTTGATAAAATTGAAAAGGGTTTCAGCCACAAGAATGATCAAAGGAGAAAACATGCCTAATAGTGACAGACTAAAAAATCTCAAGCAATTTAGCTTAATAAAGAGATGGTTGAGGGGTTACAGTCTATTTGTTTCAAAATAGGGAACAAATATTTAATAATGAGCTGTTCAATATAGTAGAGAAAGATATATCATGATCCAGAAGCTCAAAGTTGATGCTAGACAAATTCAGACTGGAAATAAGGTGTAAGTTTTTAACAGTGGGGTAACTGACCATTGGAACAAGTTGCCAAAGTTTGTGGTGGATTCTCCAACACTAGCAATTTTTTTAAATCAACTGTGGATGTTTTTCTACTTGGTCTGCTCTAGGAATTATTTTGGGGAAGTTCTGTGGTCTGTGTTATGCATGAGAGCAGACTAGATGGTTTCAAAGGTCCCTTCTGGCCTTGGAATCTAGGAAAAATGGAGGTAAAAGTCTCAAAATTCTTCAGGTTACCTAAGATGTTTAAGCATCCAGTGGGTAGCGGGTATTCAGCACTCTAGGCTTGGATTCTCAAGTGTCTCTAGAGATGCTTTGCTATAGCATCTGGGAGCCCCAGTCATGGTCCAGGAGCCAACTGTGGTCGGTGCTGTGCAAGCACATGGAAAAGAGATGGTTCTGGCTCCAAAGAAGATGCAGTCTAAGTTATGCACCTGACTCCTGGTGAAAGTCAAGTGTTACTTGCCTGACTCACATGGCCCCCTTTGAAAGCCCCAGCCCAAGTTTATTTTCACTTTGTCACAATTTGAGCTTCAAGATGTCTTCTGAATACCCTCCAAAGAGCACTCAAACATGGTATTTAGAGTCAAGTTGAAAGTCTATTTTTTTAAAAAAAAAGCGTTTTCCAGGTGAAATATTGCAGCACCAGAAAATGTCTGACTTCTTCCTCTGTCTGATGCCTAACCTGGGGCCCACTCCAAAGGCCTTTGAAGTGAAAAGACCCACTGGAATCTTTTCAATGGGCTTTGGATCAATCCCTTGTTCTTCACTCATCACTGTAGCCTCTGATCTGTCTATTTGGGCAGAAGTGGTGCACTCTTACCTCTCACTGGCACGTGTAAAAGGTCCTAAAGCCTGTGCTAGCGGGACTGGTGTTGAGAGATCATCAACACATGGGGCCCATTCAGTCAGACGTGGCTCTTTGCCAGGTCAGTCCAGGCATATGTTCTGTTCGGTGCCCATTGTGCATCAGACGTGGGGATCCTTGTGCTCCTGGAATGGACTGAGATGCAGCTACTCATTTCACACAGGCCACTGCAAGTAATCCTGAGGCAGGATGGAAGGGCAGTTCATGGTGCCAGAAGGGGATGACTTGCCACGAACAACTTTCCACCCTTCCTCTGGCTTGCAGAGACCAGACATGGCAGAGGGGACAAGACTAGCCTCTGTTGGAAAGTGAGGTGGTAATTACATCATCTGGCCAAAAAGGGGATATTTTGGCGACTGTCAGCATATTAAAAACACAGAGGTAAAAATTCTTAGATGCCTAATTCCAGGCTGAAATGGATGCAGCTATTCTGATGTGCATTGTTTCTTGCTGTATTCATTTACCCCTGATGTGCACAGCACTTGCAATGCACAAGAACAGTTTGTGTCCTAGAGAGTGTGACAGCTTATTACAGACACTTAAGAGATGGGATGCACTGGGCAAGGCAGCAGTGAAGAGAACAGCTTAAACATTAATTAATTGTTGAAGGACAAAATCCCTTCTCATGGGCCTCATGGAAGCAATGTTCCCTAAGACGGTCTTGAGTGAAGAGAGGGCAATGGCCTGGCAGTCAGCATTCCATCCAGGGGAGGCAATGTGGAAGCATAACAGACTGAGTGAGCAATCCCTCCAACCCAGTGACTGTCTAAATCCTGGACAGTACGGTGGCTAAAGAATAAGAAGCAGTTACAATTTACTGGTTTCTAGCAGGTGCCAAAGAGGACAGCCCAGAATAGCTGCAAAGGAGGAAGATGCAGGAAAAGCAGCAGCAGTGAGCACAGAGTCTAGGGAGCAGAGAGCCCATCTGGAATTCCTATACAAAATATTTGTATGTATCCGGGGGATTTGCCTGATTGTCTCTGCAATTCTGGAGTGGCAGCTGGAAATATTTCATCCCAGACCAGACATATTTAAACAAGAGTATTACACTGGTAGAGATCTCTGTTCTCTTGTTGATCAGGCCATCCCGAGGACAGTTCAGGGCCTGGGGCAAATCCCCACCACAGAAGAGGCTGCAAGGGTGGGGGTTACATGGGTATTTTAGGAGGGTCACGGTATTGCTGCCTTTATTTCTGTACTGCCTTTAGAGCTGGGCTGCTGGAGAGTGGTGGTTGTAATGTGTACTATGTGCCCAAATCTGAAGGCAGCTCCCTGTCAGCAGCAGTGCAGAAGTGCTGGCAATATCAGACCCATCTTGTCTTTATTTCTGTACTGCTGCTTTCAGCGCTCGGTGGCCAGAAAGTGGCAGCAGCTGACAAAGGGCCCAGTCCTCGTGGAACGAGGTGTACCGGTAGTTCGAATTAGAAAGCCTAATTCAAACTACCTACTCCGTGCCGCATGTAGTCGCGGGCACGGAGTCCGAACTACCGGGGCTTTAAAAATGGCGGTGCCCAGCAAGATGCAAATGAAGCCTGGGATATTTAAATCCCGGGCTTCATTTGCAACTTCAGTTGCCTACATTAACCACCCTAGTTCGTGTGTAGACATACCCTCTGAGAGAGAAGAGACTGTCTGCTATTATGTGTATGTACAGTGCCTAGGACAAAGGAATCCTAATATTAGTGAGGATCTCTAGGCACTTCCCTAACAATAATAATTTTTCAGAGGGTAAAAATCTACTTTTTTTTTACACTTTTAGTTAGCATTAAACACACCCTGTCCGTTGCTCTCATACCCTAGTCAAAATTCTCTTCTCTTCCTGGGACACATCAAATCATTCACCCAGAAAGGGCTTGAGGAACGTAAAGAATAATAGAAATTAAAATCAGATTGCAAATGGGAAATTAGTTATAAGCTTAACAGTCTGAACTACCACAGCTCCAGAGTAAAATCTCTCTCCTGATTTTAAGCTTATGGCTAAATATTAGAAACATCAGGCTGACCTGCAAACTGGCCAAAGCTGTCATTTTTATTTCTACCATTCCAAGAAACATAGCATCTCTCCGCAGTCCACAGCCCAAAAGAGCAAACAGCTCCCAGGAGTGACCTTACAGCATCTAGCATCGCTGATCCTAGAATATCAGCATTTCAGGAAGAAGTCCGCTTGGAGCCAGACATACTCAGGTTTGATGTGATGATGTACTCGACCAGCTTCCATCACACTGAAGCAGTGGCTAGGGGAGGAAGGATGGGAGGATGTTTGGTCATCATTGCTGTAGAATGGTTTAGAACAGACATGCAACTAAAATACAAAATCCTGCTCTTGATTTCTAATTACCTAGTTCTTGGAGGGAGGGTGTATTATAGATCCATGGCTTTTGGAATGATATGGGGGGCAACTGCAAAAATTCGATCTGGGCTCATGTTTCAAACATCACTTCAGGCCTGCTTCTGTTGCAGAGACCTTCCTCACCCTCATCCCAGTTACTTCCATTTCTGCCCAGTCTTTTCCCCATTTAATAGGAAGTGTCACACTTAACCATGAAAGTGCAGCTGGCTATTAACTGCAATCCTTTTGTGCCCTCTGCTGGCTGTTGGTGAAATTTATCCGTTTCCAGGAACTTTTTACCAGCTACCTACTTACTGATTTGAATTTTCAGTCCAAGGGATTCCTTGTGAATTCCTTCTAGCAGCATATTCTTGTAGTTGTAGCTGCACATAGTAAAATGGTAAGTGTGTAAGTTGTCTCTGTGACCTTTTTCTGGTGGATTGTCACAGCTAGAACTGGGACAGTCAGATTTTTGCACACTGC